GAGGATGGGAGAGTGACAAATCTTAGCCTTGCTATACCCTTCTTTAATTACTACTCTAATAAGAACAGGGGAGCTTGAACTCTTCCCCCCCCCCCGGTATTGCTCAGAAGATTTTTAAAAAGGCCCCTTCAGTGTCTGTAGCGCTGCCCCCCTGCATCCTCTCCCCCTGAAAAGGCCCTTTACATCATCGTCAACAGCAGAAAAGCAACATTTCAAAAGGCTTTTCCATAACGACATTTAGAAGTAGTCTGTTTGACTTGGTTTCTAGGAAATTAATTGGCTCAATTTGAACAAACATTTAGCTTTTTCTGTATACAACTTAATTGCCTTTAATGGTATGTTTGTGTACTACAGACAGTGAATGCAAGATAGGAAATAAGATGTCATACATCACTGTGTTTGCTTTGAAGTAGCTGGATACCCAGTCGTCTGGAGTAAATCAACCCTGTACCTGGTTTGGACTCTAATAACACACGGTACCTTCCCCAGCTCCTGCCCCCCTGCTAAAGCCTGTTCTGACTGCAGGGTGCCTCGGTGGCATCGTCAGCGTTTCAGGGGTGTTTAGTCCCTGAGGGAAGAACAGAACTTAACTATTGTCCACACAAAAATTGGCAGTGCCAGTTGCTCCTGTGTTGAGGGAAGATGAGGAGGCATTTGTTGCTCCTGTTAAGAACTCAGAGTAACGGGAAGGGCGTGCTTGGCGCAGGGCAGAACCATCGCCTCGCTGCAGCCTTCGGAGCTGGGGCTTCTCTCTGGCTGTTTCACGCAGTTCACTTTCTCGTTCTTTGGAAACAGAAACCCGAGTACCTGGGAATAACAGGTATGACAGCAACAGCAAGAAAGGACACCCTCGCATTTGCGCTAAATACTAAATAACTAGTATACTAGACAACTAATAACTAGTCTCAGTTGTCTAATATAAACAACATTTAAATCCTGTTGATATGGGGGAAAGGAAATAAAAATATAAACACTTGTTCAAATGTCTGTAAAGATTATTTTGCTATTTTGAATTCTGAAATATAAGGGCCCTTGGCTTCTACAGCAGCTTAGCCAAATGCTCTATAAAGTATTTTACCATTATTACGTATGGGGCTGTGGCTCAGTTTGCTATTTCTAAGCAGTGTAAAATTTTCTGTCGATTTTTTGTTTTGCCAGGTCTCAGCTCTAATAGATGTCAGCTCAAATAGATGATTTGTCATCTTCCCCTTAGAAAGAGGTTGGGGTCAAGAGGAGGTGGCTTTTCTGGTCCCTTTGAGCTGCTGGGGCACGCTGAAAGCATTCGCCAGGATCCAGCTCCCTCCTGCGGGGAGCTGCGCAGCAAGAGCTCGCAAAGGAGTGCAGGGAGATGGATGCAGCATCCGCAGGGACAGATCTGGTTCTGTGCCATGGTTTTCTGTACAGTTACTGTTCTGTTAATTCTGGTCCTTGCTCTAGGTCTTAAACTCTTCTTAAACTGAATAGCTTCAGCTCTGTTCATTTATTGGCAAGTTCTGGGCTCTCCACGTTTGTGCATTAAGCATGGTTTTAGCCCAGGGATGAAGGTGGGCCTAGTCTCTACAGCTGGGCTTGTCTCAAACTCTCCAGTTTCATGACGAGAAATAACCCTCCTTCAGAAAAAGACAAAATGCAAGCAGCAGATTAACTAAAGCCCAGATCACCGAAGGATTCATCTGCTGTAACTATTCACCACTAATGACCTTTAGCTGTTCTGAGAAACATTGCCTTGTGTTACATTTTCTGACAAAAGCATACTGTGTTTACTTGATCATCTTAAGTGGGTATCTACTTCAGCTATCAGCAGACAAGTGAACCGAGTATGCTCCCATGGGGTACAACAACAGATAGAACAGCTCTAGCTTATTTAAAAGCTGTGGTTCTGTTTAACCAAGAAGTGTACCGCTTTTGATGATCCAGTCTAGTATCTCAAAATAAAGCGCCTTCTGTGGGGGTTGCTTTAGGTCAGAATGCAATTTTCATTTGGTTTGGTATAGCAGATGTCGAGTGAGATGCCCTGAGTCCGATTTGATCCTGTATCTGACATTTTTGTAAGTAAGTGGGGAAACTAAAATTTGTCTCTGATCTACAGCCAACAATTATCCGCCGTTCTCCTCCATTAGCTCAGGTAAATGGTGTTCTAGGTTACCCTGCTCTACCCCCATGCTGCCACCCAGACCTTCCGTCCTTGCTTCCTCCCTGAGCCTGGTAGGTGCCCGTCCTGTGACTCCCGCGGAACGATCAGCTTACCTTCCCTGCTAAGCTGTAGAGGGAAGAATACTGAGCTTTAAAGAGTGAAAGTAAACAACAGCTTTCACAAGACTGGAAGTCCTGCTAGCGTTTCAGACTAGGAGCCCAAATGGAGTAGTCAGTATCAGTTTTAAATCCTACCAGTATAGGCAGAGAAGGTTGTGGAGCTTGCTTAGAGCACCCAAGAGCATGGCTTCTCACAACTACAGTGTAATAATTTCTTTTTGCAGAATCTGTGTCATCACGCTGGCAGAAGCCCATCCTCTTCTTCAAAGTGGAAAAACAATTAAAAGCATTAATTACCAAATCAGTGCCAACTGTAGCAGGCTCCAGAATAAGGTGTCTGGGAAGTCAAAAAGGGTACGGCTTTTTGATTTGGTTAGTTTTCATTTTAATCTCTCACACTGCCTGAGACTTTCTGTCCTTTCTAGGATAGAAACTTACCAAGTTACCTTTGCATTTTATTTTAAAACAGCCCCTCCACAGCTAAAGAATGTAGACTTTCTTGAGAGGTGCCTGTCTAACTGTCCCAGCCAGGGTCTTACAGTGCTCCTACAGCACCGGTGGCTTCCAGTGTTGCTCAAACCAAGGCTAAAAATGCTTTCAGTCATTTTTTTCATAGTGTACAGAGGGACTTAAACATCCCTGAAAAGATAAAAATTTGTTTCTACCAAAATGCTGAGATTTGGAGACTACCGTTTTTCTCAAACAGATCTAGATAGCAGTGGGCTAGTTCAGTGTGTTTCAGGGTGGGTTTTCAAATATGTGTAGTTTAACCTGGTTATACTGAAATCAGTGGTACTGTTTTTCTCCTCTCTTCCCTGATTTTAATCTGATCAAACTACAAGTCTGTTGTTCTGAAAGAAACTTAATGATGACAAAATCTGTAAGCTCTTAACAAGCTTCTATTCGATTTGTGCACAGAACTAAGTTGGCATCTTCCCCTCTGTAGGGAAGCACAGCTATGTGACTTGCAATGACCTGTAACTATCACACTTCCTTGCTTTGTTCTGAGAAGCTTATAAACTTATGTTGCTGATGGTAATACTTGAAAAAGCCCTGTGTAATTAAAAATACATGTATGTTTGTTTTCTTTTCAAATGCAGGGAGCTCAGTTTTTAACAGAACTTGCCCCTCTGTGCAGGATATCTTCATCAGATGGAGAGGAATACACCGTTTATAGGTAAGGTTTTTCCCTTTTTCTTCTTACCTTGACATACCATGCACTTCTACTGAATCGAAACACTTTTGCAGTTGTATACGAGGGCGACTGATAGAAGTGAATGAAAACATTCTTAGCAATCCCGCTATTCTGCAAGAAAAGGTAAGACACTTTCTTGATTTTTATTTTCTAACTTTTATTTCACTGCTAACTTCAGTCTTGCTTTTTAGCCATCAACAGAGGGATACATTGCAGTGGTTCTACCCAAATTTGAAGAAAGCAAGAGTATAACTCAAGGACTTCTGACACAGAAGGAGTATGAGGAAGTTTTGTTGAAACGTCTTAATTCTTCTTCATGAAATTAATTATACAGTTATCATCTGTATTTGATACTAAATAAGCTACTTCTATTGTACACTGTAACTTTCATGGTATGGAAAGTGCCTGTTTTTAAAAGTGGAACTTAAATGCTTGATTCATATAAGAATAAACCAGTTCAAATAGTTTGTATATTAAAATTTGCTTTCTCTTCTTCTTTGAATTCTAGACTACAAGTTTTTAAATAAGCACAGAATGATATGTTGGAGAGTATTTATGTTCCACAGGCAGCTTTGCTTCTGCTCAGTGCAAGCATAATACATACAGAAAAATCGTATGATTTAGCCATCACTTAATTTAGCTAAACTAATACAATATGGAGTTTGACAAAGATGAATTGAAAATAAAAATGCAACAGAAGCCTATGTGCAAAGAGCAGACAAACTTGAAAATATGTATTTCACACCAGGTTGTATTTTCATGGCATACAGAAGTCAAATAATGCCCTTTGTACAGAAGTTTGTCATAATCAGTATCTATTTTCTTAAATTTTAAATGGTACAATGTAAAGTCTACATAATACTTCAGTGGTTCTACATGCAATTCAAATTCTGCTCAGTAAGTTTTAATAAAAAAAGGAAGCAACAACTGCCATCTACCAATAAAGATGGTAAAAGAAAAAGGGTTTGAGTCAAGAGTATTAATCACTTAGAAATACACTTTTGGAAATATGAATCATGTCAACAAGATTAAAATTCAGTGGTACAGCTATTGAAAGAGGTTTTTTTTTCCTGGAACTACTTCATTGCAGGTATAACTCATAACTAAGATAACATTTCAGTGCTTTAGGCCACAGCCTTTCAGACTATATTCCTGATTCTGCTTTATCAATTACATAGACTGAAATAGGCCAGAGATGAGTTTACAGACTTCAGCAGTAGTGTTACATATAGCATATGCAGCACAAGGTTCTTATAAAACGTCTATTAGCAGCATCTTTGGGTTGAAAAATTCATTAAGACATTCATAAGCATTAATTACAAAACCGGTATCCATAGTAAGCATAGGAAAGGCATTCACATTATAAAAATACATAACAATTAGACTAGTTGGTGTTGTAATTGCTAAGTAATGGGACATCTATTAGATGTGACAAAGGTCAATAGTTTTAATTCAAATTCACGTGGTTTGACTTTCCACAAATGAAAGCAATATTGAAAATTCAGCAAGTGTTATTTTCAGATGGGAGTTCCTGCATTTCTAAGTGCTGTAATTACTTGCTCTCTAAAAATGTCATATTTGCTACATGATTTTCTAAAGATTTGATGCCAAATGTCTCGACTCTTCTTTCTGGAGTGCGTGCACTTGTGCCAGTTTGTATTCTGTCTTCTCTCCATGGTGGAGCAGGTTTAAGACAGCCATTTCCTGCTTTATTCTGCATATTAAAAAAAAAGGTTTCTTAAAAAACAAACAAACAAAAAACCCCAACAAAACAAAAAAACCCCTTTAAAATACTGCAGATAAACCAAGTACTCACCTTTCTCAATAATTTACAGCAAAGTGGAAGAAGCTGGCATAACAGAGTCATCACATTCCTTGTTTTCAGAATGCATGCATCAACCTAAACAAGACAAGAGTAGAGTAAGAACACTCATTACTTTTATTAGGCAATTGTTTAATGCATAAGATGATAATCTATTTCAAGCTTGAATAGGTAATATTTGTCCTGCATAAATCCCTTCTAATCAAAAGATTTTGCCTACCTTTTTTGAATTTCTCTATGTAGTATGTGTAAAGCAACAGCATCCCTTCTGTTAACCCAAGACTTGAGCTAGGAAGCAGATGGGAATGACACACATCCCAGGAGAAGGAACTAATAATAATGTAATATTGAACAGTAACATAAGTGTCTTAGAAAGGAGCTCTTACCACCTAAGTATGATTCATCACAGTTCTTCAGAAGGGCAACGAAGCTGGTGAAGGGTCTAGAGACCAAGTCTTATGAGGAGCGGCTGAGGGAACTGGGGCTGTTTAGCCTGGAGAAGAGGAGGCTGAGGGGAGACCTCATCGCGCTCTACAACTACCTGAAAGGAGGTTGTAGCGAGGTGGGGGTTGGTCTCTTCTGCCAAGTAATGGGCGATAGGACAAGAGGAAATGGCCTCAAGTTGCGCCAAGGGAGGTTTAGACTGGACATTAGGAAAAACTTCTTTACTGAAAGAATGGTCAGGCCTTGGAACAGGCTGCCCAGGGAAGTGGTGGAGTCGCCATCTCTGGAAGTATTTAAAAGAGGCGCTTAGGGACATGGTTTAGTGGGCATGGTGGTGTTGGGTTAACGGTTGGACTTGATGATCTTAGAGGTCTTTTCCAACCTTAATGATTCTATGATTCTATGATTCATGTTTTTCCTTTTGTTTTATGTCCGGTCAGCATGATTTAGGAAGCCATGCATCACGTAAGCCTTACCTTGATATGAGTTACACTAAAAGTTAGCTAAATCTTAAAGCATTTGAATTTATGCCTCAAGTCTAATGCTCAGCATAGGTCACAAGTCTGGGCCCTCAACAAACATTAATTTGATAGCCTATTATCACTATGTTGTGATACATCACTTCGTATAAACACACTGGAATTCCCACTTAGCTTAGCTAGAGAGTGTAAAACAAATCAAGCAGTAGCCCTGAGGTGCTCAGTTTGGTTTTGAGTGACTTGGATGCTCTATCCAGTTTCAGACCCTCCTGTAAAATGGAAACATCTTCTCCATAGCTCATTGGAAACAAACATCCAAGTGCATAGAAACGGTCTTGCTCACATTGATCATATTGCTGCTCAGGGATACTTGAAGTTCTTCAAAAAGCCTGCTCTCTATTCCGCGCTAAGGTTTGCAGATCTCCTTCTCGTGGTAACAATGCTGAAATTTTTATGGCAGCTGTATACATATTTACTTATAACAAATATGAATAAACTCACCTACCTACTGAGAAACAAGCATGTGTTTCAGTGAAAGAGTCTTTGGGGTTTCGAATTTGTTACATTTATGTTAAGCATCAATAACAACAGAATAACAATAATTGTTATAGTGTTGGAAATACAAGTTACCTTGATTAATACTTTGATCACTGAAATCCTTTCTTAGTGAGGTACGCTTAATTATAGTTCATATTTCTCTGAATGAAGTTCTAGTGGATTACAGTATTATTACTGTAATCTAGTGGATTACAGTACTATTATATACAGTAGTACTCCATCTCATATTATTCAGCTGAGAATTCTCAGTTGCAGCATGATAAAATTCCAGTATCTCTCTTTATCTAGTGGGCAAGTTGAGGGAGACGTTGACAGAAGTTCTTTGAAAAAAGTTCGCAGCAGTAAAAAACAATATAAAGTAGTGGAAGCCTATGGACACCTTTCCACCTTTGTTTTTTTTTTTTAAGAGCAGTCCAGGAACATCATTGTCTTTGGAAACATTTCTGTAAACTCTTTCACTAGCAGTGAAATCCAAAACCCAAACAATAATTTCGGTACTTTTAGTAATAGGAAGGAAAAAAATCCTATTACTTATTTTACTGATTCTTAGACTCTAAAGATGATAAGCTAAGGGTAGGGAAACTGTTCCTTAAAACATTAGTATCAATGGTATATCTCTGGCCACTGGGCTAGTTATACAAAACTTGGATATCCATGCTCCCTAAAGAAAACATTCATGTAAGCCTGTAGAGCAATACTATCCAAGCTATCCACTGGCAGGCTTCCATGTATGCTGGGCACCAGTGTACCATATTTTCCCTCCTATCAAACTCTCAGCACAAATGAGGGGAGTCAGGTCAAGATAAACTTCACTGAAGCCCTTCTCTGGTAGTGGGGAAAAGAAAAAAAAAAAGGCTAGAAAACAGTAGCACCCATGCTAAAGAAAATCCCTTCCCGAGATAACATAGTGTGGTAAATGGCTTGGATTACAGTTATCAGTGAGGGATGTCCCAATAGACAAAACATTTTCAGAAAGGGGAACAGTTCTTACTGTTCTTCCTCTATACTTCGCACATCAGCTTCTCAAAACATGTTAAGTAAAAAACAGTACTTCAAATTGAAGTAAATTCCTCTTCTACATAACAAACAGCAATGATGACATATTGCACAGCAGAAAAATGTTTGCACAACAGCGTAAAATTTTGTACTTATTCATTTTTATGGTCCTCTGTCAATCCAAGAAGTTCAGCTGTCATGAACTGTTTTCATATTTTAAAGAGGAGCATAAATTAGTAAGTTACTGTATTTCAAAACAAGTTAGGTCTTACTTTCAGGAATATATGTAATTTTTACCTTACCTTTGTAAATGTAGCACTTTTACCCTGAACAGAAGCTTTAGCCGTTATCTGGAGCTGCTTGCACATAGAGATCAGTTTTTCAGCCTCCAACAGAAGCAAAGGTTTGTCATCATCATGTACCTGAAATGTGTTTCAGGAAGACAAAACCACTCTGTGTTAAAGACTCCGATATTAAGTTAACGGAGAAGACAGCACAACCAGCTTTTAAGCAGTATCACTAGTGTCATAAGCTGAACGGCTATTTTAGAGGTCATACATCACCTGATCAGAAAAAGCATGAAGAGCTGAAGCAAGCTTTGTGCCCTCTGCCGCAAAAATCTAAAAAGGGGGAGAAAGCATGTAACAAAATGAACCAGAATGAAAGATGAGGCTCTTTTTCCTTGTTAAGAAATAGTATGCTATAAAGTAAAAAGGTAGCAGGAAATATTTGTGATAGTTGTATACATTTATAATTAGCAAGTCAGCAGTTTGCAGTGACTTCTGAAATAACAAGCTACACTACAAATTGCCATTCTCCCAGATAAGCAAAGTTTAAGCGCTTTCCCTTTACATATAAAAAAACCTGACTTCCAATTATTTTTCGCACTGTAGCAGCTCACAAGAGTTTTGTGGGTAGATTACTCCTGCCATGTTTGTTTATTGTCTTGACAAAGGTAACCAGTCTCCTCTTAAACACAGGCATGTATTGGAAATATCATGCCACATTCCTTCATTTGGCCCCTTGTCTTTTGTTTGTATTATTCAAATTTTTACGTCTTCTTTCTTTCCCATGAAAATACTGCTGCTCAGACTAGGATGGGGTATCCGTTAACACTATCAGGGACTGACCTAAGTGACACAATGAATACTGCTAATGCACTGAAGTCCACTGTATTTGCCATAATGCCAGTTTGCTATTCCTACTCCTAACTGGAATCTGTCAGTTTAATGAATGCTGTCTTAAGCTACTACGGGAACACTGAAAAGTTAGCTTTCAGAAGGTAACGTACCAGAGTTAGGCTGCTTAAAAGCTACAGTTGCCAGTCAATTCATGGTACACTATACTTATGTGTAAGGAATCAGAGAGTTAAGTTCCAATTTGTTCTTCACTCAGAGTGCCTAACTCCTATTTTGTTAAAAATATATTACCTCTGCTTGATGAAATAAATCTTGAGTAGTTTTCAGAAGTCCTTCTCCTCTGTGGGAAATAATGAAAGCAGAATATATGCCGTGTACAGACTGCAGATTATTTTGCCTGCTACTTGCATATAATATAAATTTAGTATCTCTCTCTCTCACCCCCATTCACACCACTGAACTGTAAAATATCACTCTTTTAGAAGATACTATGCATAACAATAACTTACTACAGGAACTGCATTTCAAGATATTATATAAACACCTCAGTGGCTAGAGCACTATTGGGAAATTAGCAGTGGTTCAGTTCTCATCAGCTGAACAAGAACAGAAATCCATGTCTCTGGCATACTGAGTACTATTGGACTAGTAGGTAAGAAAAAATCTCAAGTCTTATAAAAAAAACCCCCTACATTCTTTAAATAAGAAAGCTGACATTGCATGGGCAAGTTTCAGAAGAACACCTTTCAGTACAGCAAAGATCAGTAATTCTAATCTACTGTTATATACCTGTGCTTTAACTCCCTTAATTTTGAAAGTATTTATGAACATGCTTCTTAAAATGTTTTCCGTAACCAAGAGATATTTAAACAGCTGTTCTGCAACAAAACAGATGTTTAGCACTTTAAAAACCTCCTAATTTTATTATTAAACAGCTTAGAAATTTACAGGAATTTATAAAGTGTAAGGATAGAAATTAAAATTCCTTTCTGAATGTGTCCCAATTATTAGTCTGAAAATGAAATTGTCTTATTTCTTATAAGCACTGTTAATGCTCTTCCCACCAAAACACGCTGCATACAGTGTAATTACCTGGTAAATAAATACATGGAGTAGGCCATACTTGACATGCCTTGTCCATGTTGCACGATCTCATTCTCCTGATCCTCCCACTTCTCTGTCTCAGAATCCACATCAGATGTGAGCAGATGCAACTCTAATCCGAGCTTTGCAATTTTTGCCTGTTCCTGTAAATGGTAACCATATTTATGGCACTTGAAAACACATTCTTCAGACAAGATTTAAAAAAAAAGAAGTTTTTTTACTAAAATGATGGCATCTTACCTCAGTGTCTAGTTTGACTGGCTTTAATGCTTTCAGATTTGCATTATGCTTCTGTTTCAAACAAAAAATAGTATTTTTAAATAAAAGGAATTAGTAATCATTTTACTAACAAATCATAAGAGATGGCTCTATACTCAAGAGGCAGACTTTGCAGCAGAGTTCCAGTGGTTCAGACAAACTTCTCAGTAGAAGCTGAGAACCTGTTCTGATCTGGTTATCCTCCTGCAATGGCATGTGCAAACAGGGTCTGTGCCTACAGACACCCTAAAGTTTCAAGGAAAAGACCTCTTCCACAGTTCTCAGACTCCACTTCCTCAAGCAGTACCACCTCTTCCCCCCACCCTCTAAATCCTCAGTAATACTTAGGACTAATAAACAGTCTTAATCAAGTACTACTGCACTGATTTTTGCATCAAAGATGATACTGATATAACAGGGACTTGGAAGTTGATTTAGCTAGTAGTGAGCTGATCTAGGGTACAACCCATGTAAATGCTAGTGTGACGATGTAGCTCATTACTCTGTGTCACTTTGTTGAAGTAGCTGGAAACAAACACTGACACTTTGATCTTTTTATGGGTTTCCTTCTTTTATTTAAGTCATGAACTACCTGAAACACCAGTCTGGCTGGAAGCCAAATATTGGCTCAGATTAAACTTGGTACTGATGTGAGTGGGCTATCTGATAAGGCAGAGCTTGCCAACTGCATAACACATATACACAGTAATACATGATTTGTTTCAAATCAATTTGCATGTAAAGAGCAGCAGTTCCTGGCTTTAACTTCATGTGCTGGTGCTGTCACTGTGCAAAGACAGCAAAAACTAACAGACATGGGAGCCACAGTCCACATTCAGAAACTGCACTGGAGTACAGAGGAATGGAAAGTACAAAGTTGGTGTCATAACTTGGAGAGGTGTGAGCCACTGGAGGAGGTTGGATGATAAGAGTGCACGACTAAGATCCTTGTCTGAGAATCTGAAAAGAGCTGCTACTCATTAGTGGGAGTACTTGGGCAAATTAAGCTCAGTGATGCCTGCAGGGGAAAAAAAAAGCACTATTCATTGTGAACAGCACCAGAAATAAGCTCCAGATGCGGTCTCCATCTCTCACTTCAAGAGTTTGAGAAAAAATAAAGTACTACTATTGAAGTTCCTACTGCAATTTGCTGCTCAGTTTAGCTTTCATGCCATTTCTCGCTTCCGATCCCAAAATTTTTAAATATTCTGAATCTTATGAATGTCCACCCAAATCAGACACTGTAATTCTGCCTATGTATTAGAAATGCTGATCTCATATCAAAAGATTTAGCAAAAAGTGTAAGAACTGATACTCCTAATTGTCATTTAAGTTTGACCATATTGCATACTAGAGATGCAATTCAAGAAATGCTGATTTTAAGGCAGAGTCTTAAAACAAGAAAGGAACACAAAGCCAAACTAGATTTGTGTGTAAACACAAACTTTGGGCTACAAGGTATGGCAAATATTTAAGCTGCTGAGTGAAGGGTATTCAAGAAAAAACAGCACTCTAGCACAGGTAAGTTTTTTCTATCCACAAATAACTAAAAAAACCTCAGAATGTTTGTCAGATATGTAATTTTCTCCATTCTAGTGTTCACTCACACTATCTGAATAGGAGAATTGGTAAAAATCAGATAAGCAGTTATTCTGCTAGAAAACATGATTTGATACCCAATACTATAGAGAAAAATATACCTGTGCATTAAGCACACACATGAATCATCACTGCTGCTCTGTCCTCAACTATGGCATGGTCTAGGATGCCACTCATTACCAGCAAACAGTACAGTCACAATTAAACAGGTGTAACAAAATATGTAATCTAATTAGATCGACAGGAACAGTGTGGCTTCTGTGCAGGGACAGTGTGGGCAGTAGCCAGGCACAGCAGACCTCTGTGATGGCAGTAGGGAGAGAAGGAGGAGTACGGAGAGCCACAGCACTGGGAAGAGAGGCAGTTCCAAAGGTTAGTGCATCAGTTAGGCAAAGAAATTACTCTGTGAAGAAACTCTGTTGTCTTATGGATGTAATCTACATTTCCTGTCTACTTCCAAACTGTGTATTAATCATAACTCCCCCAAATCTACGCATCTTGCAAAATTTAAAAGAAGGCAGCAACCTTTCAAATAGTAACAAAGCAGAACTGTTTAAATCCTGGGAATAAAGTTTTTATTGAAAGTATTTTTAAAAGACATATGAATCAATAAGTGGGAATCTGACTTAGAACATTTCTTCTTTACATCATGGCTGAAGTCCAGCAGCTATGTAGCTTAGTCAAACCGGTGAGGGACAAAAACCCTATCAAAAGTCACTGAACCAATCTGTTTTTCAGCCTCAATATTTAGTTCCATAACTGTGAAATTCACCCATGCTCACCCAGCCTAACATTATATTCTATTTAAACCTGCAGATTGGATTTACAATTTATGACCTTTTATCTTTTCATTAAGGGTCAGAAGTAGCATATTGTGTTTGAAGTCACAGAATTGCACAACAGGAGACATGAAGACGGGATCATTTCACACCCAAATTCCTCAACACTACAGGTTAAGGAAAGAAAGCAAGGAGAGAAAGAAACAAGCTAGACCTTACTGTACCTTCTGAGATCATTCTTCCCCTTCTTCCTACCCATGAAAAGATTCGGTATGTAGCAAGCGAATCAAATGACTGATGACGTGATACTAACAAGGTTTAAGAGGTTTCCTAACACACAGATGCTCTCAGAAACAATGCAATACCATTATAATCAGCTAAGTATATTAATTACCTCACAACTAAACCTGGACATTTGGTATAGCTTTTTTCTCTGCATTAAAAACATTTACGATCAAAGAAGGAAACAAGAAGCCGTTATTTGAAGAGCCTACAACAGGCTTGAACATGTCCATTTGTTCCAAATAGGTCAACTCAGGCAACAACGTCAAAAAAAAAAAAAAATCAGATTATCAAGACTTATTTTCAGTGTGTTGCAGCGTATTCTTACTGTTTTAATAGTAACAGTGCATTTTTTATTATATAGCGTGACAGCTGAGTACGTAGTAAAATATGTCACACTAATGAACAGGAATTAAAGCTCATGTACAATCAAAGTGATTAAAGCATATTATGTAACTAGTTACCCTAGTTTTCAGTATGTTTGTTATTCATTTAATAAACTGACGAAGTTTGATATTTTACTGTCAGCCATCCAGTCAGGATGCATGTTACCAAGCTATTGCTATGACCTCATCAAGGTGAGACATGGAAAGAAGTCAATTAGTTAATAGCAGATATAAAGTAAATACAACAATCCCAAAAGCAACTTACCCCTGGTCTGGGCAGTGATAGGTAGACACGCTTCTCTCCTACAAGGAACACACACATTTACATGGAAATTTGTATGCAGATTTTAATCAATGGGATCACATGCCTTACTTCATCCTTCCTTAAGTTGCAGTACTATAAAAGCAAATTACTTACCTGTAAGTTTTGAATATTGCAGAAGATTCCCTCTCTGTCTCATGCTTCCAGAGCGAGACAAGCCAAGAACTCTGCACTGTTCAGATTTTAGGTCTCAGCAACTGGCAGTTAAGAAAGCTCCTCTGAACAGTTTCCCTCAGTAAGATTTCTAGTCCCCTGCATACAACGCACAAGCGAGTAAAGAAGCTCTCCAATGACTGAGTAGCTATCGCTACATGCATTCATTTTGTTGCAAAGTACAGAACATACAATAGTAGTTCCACGTAAGGCTTTTCTTGGCATGGGTTGGATTGTCTAAAATTTGGAGTAGGCAATGCCACTAGTGAGAAATACCTAGGCAGGTTTTTCTAAGTAATGCCAATAAACCCCTCATGTTGTACGGTACTGTACGTATCCCATGTGCACTGTATCTTATGAAGAAAAAAGTTCGATAGCATTTTACACACTTATTGAATTATTTCTTATATCCCCAAGAGCCTCAGATATTCCAAGTCTGAGAAAAACAAATGGAGGGAAAAAAAAAAAACAACAACTTTTAGGTGTTATCTAAAAGTGGATAAGAAGAGTTTATTGGCAACAGGAAACAGTGCCCGGGCTAACAGCCTAGGGTTAGAGCTCCAGTTACCAGAAGACTTAATTATCTATGAAGACTTACATTTATTACAATAGATTCAGGAGAGGAAAGTCTGCTAAACAAAATTAAAATAAAATACATTAAAAACTTAAGCGCTACTGAAAAATATATTTTACCTGAAGAACCAAAGGGCTACTATAATGGATATCAGTACCAGGTTTGCATAGAGATGATGCATCTTGACAGCCAAAGGACAAGCAACAAACCCCCCTACAACTGCTATTTCCTCCTCTTGTATCAGCTCCTAGAGAAATTCCATTCTGAGTCCTCAGAATGGAAGACAGTTCTCTTGTGCATTCGAGATTTTTTGAAAGTATGCTCTTTATCTCCTGACACCACAGAAAGATCATGAGCTCTGTGTCTAGGCAACTGACTCCTGAAAAACAAATTTTAGTAAGTTGACAAGTGTCCCTCAACCCTCTTGATAAGTATGAAGAATGAAATTCTTCCTTTCTAAGATCACCTCCTCCTTCCCCTACCCAGTTTTGCGAAAGATGAAATGAGCTATCAGGGCACAAGCTGCCTAACTATTTTTTTCAGAGCGCAGAGTTATTCAGATATTAATTGCCCAAACATGCATCCAAACAAGATTTCTCACTGAAGACTGATACAAATTATGAGAAGTGATTTACAACATCCTATGTATCAAAACATCATAAAGGCCATGTAAAAAAGCGTGTGAGACATACCAAGAACAAAAGCTAACTTGTAAGTTTAAAATGCTGTAGCATAAAAGATCTCCTTGGTGCTATGTAAAAACCTGTTGTGCCATGTTAAAAAAAAAATTCAAACACAGAAAGCTTTGACATAACAAATGAAATCCAAATGCATACTGAGAGGACACACTACTCACACACAGAAGGTAGGCATTCAGAATTACAGAAACCAAATGGAAAGAGGTGGTAAACAGAAATTAAAAAAAAATTGTTTTTGCTTTTCAAGCAATTCCCATTATTTGGCTTTGCAAGGCTTAGTTGCTCACCATATTCAGAAAAAGGAAGGATCTCACTATTTATTTCTTGGAACATTTAAAAAAAACCCCAAAGAACCCAAAAAATACACACACAAAAAACCCACCTCAGCGGACCCACAGATACCAGACCTTTCAAAAGCGCATATCAACTCAGGCCAGAGATAATCCTACTACATCAGAAAATACTTAATCACATCAGTATAATCACAAAATTATTATTTGATTCCATTAACAAAATACACATCTATAGTTTTTCAGGTACTTAATTTCCTCAGTTTGCACAGTCAGATCTTGCTATAATAGCAAAAGGCTTTTCGCCATATTATGATCTTCCTTTTATTTATTCGAGTCTGCCTTTGTCTTTCCTGATGTGTTTTCTCTAATACGTTTTTCCTTTTTTATTTTTTTCATTTAAAATTAATTTTTATTAGTTCATTCTGTTTGTCTTCCAATTTTACACTTTCCAGCAGTTCCAGTCATGTTTTTCCCTCCAAAACGTCTCTATTTCAACTTCTAAATCCTGCTTTTGATCTCACTTCTTATCTGACAGTAGGATGGCTGCATCCCTGCTTCACCCTTCTTTCTAGAACTCTAATTTCTGAATTGTGAAATTCTGATCTGTATCCCCTACTGATCAACTACGGCCCTCCCAAATCCTCATGGTCATTTAACTCCTCTCAAATCAAGTGGGCAAAACAAGAGGAGAGCAGAAAATGAAATTATCTTCATAAATCATTCTCTCACTTCTGACCAAGTTACAAGGGAGCAACCAGGGGATTATTCACATTCTTCTCCAGCATGTTGAAGCCCGAAAGTTAGGGGAAAAAAAAAAGAGATTGGCTGACATCCAACAGATGGGATCAATGAGAGGTACTTTTGTTAGGTGATTCATCTTAAAGTGCAAGAGCTTCAAAGTTAGGTATCTAACCTAAACTAGTAATTCTGAGAACAAACCGATCCCTCCACAGGCTGAACCAAATCTCCCAGCTGACAGGAGCCACCCTCTAGAGATCCCAGCACTCTCCTCGGCCCAGACCAGCCACGCCACGTTTCAAAAACCAACATTGTGCAGAATGGGCCTCCTCACCGTTGGATTAAAAAGTGGTTTAGGATTAAGCAGAAGGCGGCCAACTCTACCTCAACTTTACAGCTCTGCATAGCACAGAGACATTTTCAAAGTAAACAGGAGGGTTACTGGGCTGTGGTGTGCTCAGCAACCTCCACCACCCCTACATGCACGCACACCCCCCTCCCCAAGACAAGCCCATTTCAATTTGGGCATGATCTGGTGCGATTACATCAAAATTGAGTAAAATACTGCTTCATTTCCAAGCTAAATCTGGCTCTCTATCCATGTGAGTTTTGAACCTCAGTATGAGAAATACCTAATTTGCTGATATGAAAAAAACTCTGGATAAGGAGTTATGCAATTGCTCATAAAAATAAAGAAATGAGTATAAACAATGTGAATCTAGTGTAATCAGAAAAATGCTTCTTTTATTTGATGTGTCCAGCACATTTAGTCACCATTCAATTTTTGCCTCTAAAGTTGTATTCTGAACTCTCCAACAAAACCAAACATTCAAATTGGTAGTACAAAAATACAAGTTTTTAAACTGAGGAGGAAAAAAAAAATATACCTTCTTACTGTAACTCTATCTTTTGTTACACACAATCACAATTCTACTAGGAATAAAGCACTTGTTACATTTTAGTCTGTAAAATAAAGACACTTTTACCAACCTCAACATTAGGATAAGTATCATGAGCTACAAGAAGAATAAAACCTTATAAAATATTGTGAAACTTCATTGTGTTTGGAGGCAAAAGTTTTGTGAATGCCACTCTTATAAACTCTTAGAAAACAAATATTTTAGTTTAATTTATTCACTGGGTCATCAGTCATGTTTTCTAGGAGAAAAAAAATGTTGAAAATAGCAAGGTAACTTCAGAGTATTTTCTGAAAGCAAAAAGGGGGGGGGTGTTTGGGTGAGATTTTTTTCGTTTCTTTTTTTTGACAAGGGTCACTCCAAAGTCCAACAAGAGAAAACAAGCAAACAAAAAGAGATTAGCCCACAATACAGAGGAAAACTTTGTAGAACATGGGTGGATATAAGAGACCAAATGATTTCTAAGGAGGTAACTGACAGTTAATATGAAACAATCCAGATTCAGAGAGAAGTCCCTTGCTAGGCTGGGCCACGAGACAAGGAAAATGGAGACATGATTTCTTAAGCATCGTTTTGGCAATGCAAGACCTAATGCACCCAAGGCCATATAAAGAATACAAGCTACACTTACTATCTTACCAATGGTGGTATCAGAACACTTTATGCTGAAAGACAGACTGAGGAAACAAGAGACACTAACAAGAACAGACTCATCTGGCTATGCCCAACAGGAGAAGATGGTCTCCACTGCACCCAGGCCCATACATGCTATAGCCTCCAACATGCTCAGCAGCACCTACCGGTTCTCTTCTCTCTCCATCAAGCAATGACATTGGGTTGCCTTGCGAAATGATGCTTTAAAGAAAATCGAAAGTACCACTTGTGGAAAATATGTTATCTGCTGTCAACAGCCACAAGAGAAGAGAAAGTTACTAACTACAGGAGAGGCTGGGAATCTGCCGCAACACTTCAAGAACTATTTGTTTGGAGAGCCAAGTATATGCATTGCTGTGGCTGCATGATTCTCATCCTATTATTTTTAAATACAGTAATATATATATGTATACACACACACATAATATATAAATATACAAAAAGGTTATCATTCAACCCTGCTAGACCATTGTATGAATATGAAAAAAAATCAGATACTACATGATCAGCCCTGCAAGTTCCAAATTTTTTGTAACACATTAATATTAAGAATAATACCATATTTTAAGTTGCATTATATAAAATTTAATGCTATGTTTAAAGAAAGTCAGTATGTCCTTGGCTCCCAAAACAAACAAAAAGCCCACTGAAAGTTAAAAGGCCCATAAACAGGATCTGCGATTGCTACACGTCTTTATATGGCATTCCAGTCCAAGGTGGAAGAACAAGTAGGGTAACAATCATGAATTTCTCAAACACCTCCAATTCCCAATAACCTGCGCTACACGCAATTATTGTAAACCCACTCAGAATTTCAATATATGTTTTCCTTTTATAGGTCTTCAGGCTCAGACACACATTCATCCAACAACCAGCAGCAACAATTTTAAGATCTTACTGCCCTGTGGTTCGTTGCTTACTGTCCTCACAATGAAGTTGGCAGAAGAGAACTGCTTACACAAAAACCTGATCAAGTACAGAAAGTTAAACTGACAAAATAAACTCTAAAAATGAAAAAAAGTCTCACATTAATAGCAAGATGAAGTATTGAATCATCGATAAAGTGTCATCTAACCTGAATAAGGATTTACTTTTTCTGTATCTTAGATACAAAAAAATGAAGTCCCTGTATTTAACTAAATCTAAACTTTTAAACCTGAGTGATTTTCTTAAAAATACAAGACATTCAGTATTATTATATATTACATTCTATCTGTGTGCAATTATACCTTAAAGACTGAAACAAACACGTAGCTGCAAGAAGTATGACAGGCTACACTAAAGACATCATCTGAAAAAAAATTAAGTTAAATAAAAATGAAAAACAAAATGGCTTCCATTTTTAAGGTAAATTACCCTATGCTAAAAGTAAACAGAATTTTTTTCTTAGGATTCCCAGTTTTTCTTCTACATGTTGTACAAATACCAATAAACTTACCAACCAGAGAAAATATCCCATGATTGTGCAGAGTCGTCAGAGATTCCATCCAGGAGAAAGGACAGCAGTTTAAAAATCAAATAACTACATTCACTACATTATGAAGTGAATACAAGGCAAGCTGACAGTATAGAATATATAAGTGTATATATATTTTTTTCAGAAATACAGGAAACAAATTAAACATGTCACACAATTCAAGTTATATCTTGATTGTCATGAACTGATATGTCCTAGACAAACCAAAAGCTGGGATGAAAGACCTACACCCCTAATATATGGACACTGCTGGCGAAGAGCTGTGTCAAATACTTTTGTGTCCTTTGAACAGTTCCATTTGATTTTGCTGGAACTAATCACAGTGCAGAAAGTTAAACATACCTAATTTTACACAAATCAGGCCTTTAAATTCTTGGCTGTTTTTCTTTGGAAAAAAACCAATAAGCACCCTAATTTGACATCTATACAAAACCAATATATTTGTGTATTGCAACCTAGATTCTACATTGCCATATGGGATGTGGGACTGTTTATTGCACTCTTCTCTTAAGAAAACAGTATTTCCTAAATCACACTTAAAATTCTTAGACTACATGTTTTGAAAAAGACATTTTTCTATTTCTACAGAGCATTCTTACCTCTTCTTCCTTCAAACACATCATTGATTTCTCTTAACAACGTAGACATGTCACTCAGTTGAGACTCCCAGGCCTCACAGAACACCTCAAGATTTTCTTTTGCAATCTTGCTAGATGGATGTAATGCCAGTGTTTCTGCAGCAGAGATTATCTGGACAGAGAACAAAATATTTGCTACTGAAAGTCCTAGTACATAGTGTTGCACATGAATTCACAAATGCCTTCACAGGCAAAACACAAAATTGAACTGCTACTATTATGTCTTTGTAGCATATTCATCTGACATTTGCAGGCTTGATGATCTTCCTTGTGCATTCTTTTAGCTACCGCCCAATGTTAAAGTGTAACTCTTTCTTAGAACTGCTTTGAACAGTTCAGCACTAGGTCCCCAAAAACTTCATACAAGTAATTTTTACTGATTTATGCCCAGTAGAAGTGACCAGATAAAAGCTAAGCATACCTGTGGGCCAGTGACCTGAAAGGTATCTTCTGCATGTATGCAAGTAATCTCGAGGGGCTCAGTTCCAGAAACATGCCTCAATAAGCGACACATCTAAATATTTTTTATAAATTTAAGAGATAAAAGAATGGTAAAAAAATATGCTTTCATTAGTAGTGAGAAAAGGTGCACGTGCACAAACACACACACACAAAGTTATTGATCGTTCTTTCAGAAACTTACTGGGGACCACACAGCTGGGTGTTTCTCAGGGAGCATTTACAATAAAAACAGGGCTAAATTCCAACTTGGAATGTGTAGAAAAATCACCAAGAGAAAGAAAAGTCTTAATAAATAAAAATAAAACAACAACAATTTCACATATTTGTGACTGAATAAACCTGAAAGTAATCAGACACCTACGGAACTTGGAAAAATTGTAGCATAACTGACTTACTCAGCAATTAGCAACTATGTGTAAAATTTAGGCTTTCATCAGCCAGGGGACTGAATTATCTTTGAGCAAATCAGTGTCAAATTAATTTAGGGAAGAAATACTGTTTCCTTTCACAGTAAGCAAAATGTAGTCATCTTTTCTTTCTTTTTTTTTTTTTTTAAATAAGATTAAGAGTGAACTTTGGTCTGAGAAGGAACATCGAAGTTTTCAGATCAAAAGGAGAATCTGTAAGACAGAGACAGCACATATGAAACTGACTGCACTGTCAATCATCAGAAATGGCTATAAGGCATTTGTTCACATACAAACACTATCTAACCTCATGGTTATGCCTGAAAAAAAACCAAAGTGTCTCACTGGAACACAGTCACAGAAAAAGGAGACATTAAAGCTGAAATTAAAATTCCACAGCATTGATTTCCCAGTCCCGGAAGTTCAAGGGTATTGCTTCTGCATATTCATACTTCTGGGATGAATCTTCAAGCCCCGTACGATATCAGAATTTTTTAGAAATTAATGAGTATTAGATGCCATGCAAGTATAGCTGCTGGCATCACCATGTTCCAGATCAAAGTGATGTATTTTTGTATGTCTCCTACTGGTACAGTTACTTCTGCTTGTCTGCCAGACGAGAGAGCAACAAGGTATACATGGCAGATATCCTCTCCACAGGCACTCCTAAGAGCCATGATCTCTCACTAGTCTTGGAAGTCCTATTTGTTCACATGTGTGAATACTACCGTACAAAACCATGAATGTATTAGTACATGAAACATACACACTGCTTTTCACGAAGGAGAAAAGATTTTCAGAGGCCCTCTTGACTGACAAAAACTACACAAGATCTTCAAAACAGTCAAGTTCATTGCATTAAGAAACTTAACCTTACATTCCCAGCATTCTTAAAATGTGTCTTTGGATTTAGCTGTCGTTGGACGCCCACTGCTTGAAAGAAAAAGGCTATCATCTCTACTTGGATCTAGAAACCTATTTTTTAATGAATATTTTAGTCCCAGCATATACATACAGATTGAGTCTAGATCCACAAGGAGAATTGGGTATGACTGTACATCCCTTCTACAACAACTGTATGCCACAGTGATACCTCTGGCTCAAACCCTACCAAGAACAATACAAAATTCAACAGTATACTAGCAAAATAAAATAAAATAAGAATTACAAAAATACAGACCAAAGTCTTCCTAAAGAACAGATTAAGACAAATCCGGCCACTCATTTTCTAAGTGCCTTACAAAATGAAAGCAGCCATGAGCTCACCTCAACAAGTTGTTCTTTCTGCTCTGATAGCTTGCAAGTATACTCTGCTACAGCTTCAAGATTTCCTTCTACTCCTGTGATTTTTAATGCTTTGAGAACTGTATGATCCATATGGTATTTTAGCAGATCTGCTGCCAAAGATGTTGCTGCACTGTGGACCTTGAGTAGCATTAAAAGAAGAAGGAGAGATAAACCTTGGAAGGAAAAAAAAATTCATCCAGTACCAAGTCAAATAAACTTAAAGAGACAGATTGATTTTTCGAAGAAGCAGAAAATTTACTGCCATGAAAGCTCATACACAGCCTGTATATTATCTGGGGCTTTAATTCTTCAATTACTATTCAAAGTACAAAGATAAAATCCACTGCACTCCAAAAAAAAAAAACCCACAACAAAATATGGACAGAAACAAAAGAGCAGCTGGGTAAAATGAGGACATGAAGTTATCACACTGCTGCTTTCCGATAGTGTTTCAGCTGGGAAAAAACAGGTGCATGAATTTCTCAGGCACGAAGTTCAGCAAAAGCATGGCACAATGGCCACTCTACTTCTCATGAAGAACACATACTAAACTGTGTGAATCAGACTGAAGCCACACAGCATTTCAGCTTATAATATATCAGAAATTGAATTCCTATGAATAAATTGAATTCTCAGTGATGCAAAGAAAAGCTTGAATATAATCAGCTTGTGACATAGCCTTAGAAAACTAAAAAGCATCTTTTCTGCAAGGAGACTGAAGCCAGAGATGGGTCTTGGAGAAGTCTCAAACACTCTCCATACACACCCAACAAGCAGTGAGAAGCTTCCCCTTGAAACACATGCCTAAATCCAGACACACTTTCAGACCCATGGACCTGCTGAAATTGTGCTGTGAAGGACTCTGCTTGACAACAGCTATCAGCGACAGCTGCTGCTAGTTCTAGTGACTAGTCATAGGAAGCTTACCTATGCCCTGTAATCAGCCCCATTTTAAAAACATAGGTAAAACCAAAAGAGCAACCTCTTTAGAAATAGCACAGCATTCTTACGCTAAGACTATTATAAGTCTTGTAATATTACACTCACTTTGCTGGACTGCACTGAATATACAACAAACTTGGCTGTTCAAGAAGAAAGTTATTTTTCAAGTTCTTATGAATGCAGTGAGCTTGAAATTGTGACACTGATGGGCCTTGACTCTGTAGAGAAGAGGATGTTTACTAGAACGTATTACAAAATACATTGGATTTTTTTATTCCACTAGACTACCTATTTTTACCCCCTTTCCCTGGCAGTACCTGTGCAGTCCAGAATTAAGGTGGGTTTTTTTGTTGTTGTTTCTTTGGGGTTTTGTTTGTTTGTTTGTTTGTTTTTTAAATTTCATGCAAGAAACCTGAACCGTTGCCTCAAAACCTGCTGTGACTGTTTTTTAAAGGAAAAAAAAAAGCTATGACAACCTGTTATAAACTATTTATATAGCGTTGCTCGCATGCCATTAAAAATTAGCACAAACCACTAATCTCAGAAATGAAGTCAGCTCTGAAGAAAGGATATCTGCAAAGCTTGTAATGTTAGAGTAGGAACTGGCAAGTCTCATTTATATATAGGCTACATAGACATTACCTTTTCATTAGAGATTCTTTTCATCCTGATCTGAAAAAGAAATTTACTTCTACTTAATGCTGTCTCTGATCATTAGTAGGAAAAATCATGTCAAGGAAGGAACATACCTTTTGTTTCTTCCATAAAATGACAGAGATGGGAAAGAACTACTTTTAACAAGGCTGTCTTGTGTTCCGAGCCACCCAGGTTCTCAAAAACATTTTAATTAGAGTCACAATACTTAAATTTCACCAGTAGAGATCCTGGTTGCTGACTGATACACTGCAGCACCCGAAGTCAGACTGACAGGACAGTCTTCCTCAGCCATGTACAGAAGCATGGCTACTCTGGGACCAATCCAATCACTACATAGAGAACAAGGAAAATGACATAATACTCTAAATTTACTTCTACGAGTAGCACGAATTCTGTGCATTTTTAAAAAGCTCTTGCTAAGCAAGCTTTCGTACTCTACAGGTCACCAGAGCAAGTTATACAGAACTTAGGATTTGTTAGTTTAGAGATCCACACCCACTCAATTTGCTTCACAATTTCTAAAGCAGTGTGCTATGTTTTCACCTGCATTGCTTTTAATATGGGGCTACATCACAGGGCACACGTAACCCACTATTTTGTATTTTATGCCACCTCTGTTAGCTGGTTTACAGAAGGTCATTTTCTATTATTGTCACCTGACAAAATTCTTTAACTTAAGTGTGGTAAATGTGTGGTTTTTGTTGCATGATGTTTTCATGAATAGAAACCCGTGGGCAGGACAATATGGCAAGATTTACATTTATGGAGCTGCAAGAAAGTACAAGATATTAATGATTTCTTCCACATACTATATTCCAGCCACCTTTATCTTGATGATCTATGCAATTACATAGCCGCATCCTATTTTGACTGGGAACCCTTCCTCCTCATTCAGCACACAGGAGCGATGTTACTCCAAAAGGATGATCTTACAGTTAAAGCAGCTGAATGTCACTCTGGAAAAGCTCTGCTACTGACTTCCTACATAATGGTGACCAAAGAAAAAACTATTAATCAAAGTGCACAAATTATGTATCCTCCATTTTCTGGGAGCCCAACACACTGCCTGACAGCAGAAGCGCAAAGCACAAAGCAACTGAAATAGATTCAAAGCACTGTTCAAATCTTCAGGACAGCTGCAGGAAATTATAATCCAGAAGACAAAATTCCTCATTTTGACTCTACTAAAAAATATGCAGCGTGAGTTTTTGAGCAATCAAGGTTTTCCAGTTACAGCAGCTGAGAGCTCAGTCTAAGCAAGTTTACCATACTTCTCTAACATCTTTGCACTGCTCTGTAGCCTAGTATTGAAACCCTCACTGTCCTTAGTCTTCATTTCTCCATCTGTTTAAAGGACAATAATATGAAACAGTTGAAAAGATACCTGAATGCTTTGCAAATATTTTGGAAGCTGCCAGAAACCAGTAATTCTGTATTTGGCTCAAATCTGTGGAACAGACAAGGCAGCAATGCTATCCGTTAACAGGGGGGGAAGAACCCTGGATCAGCAAGTGCAATCCCTCCCATGTACCAAATGAGGCAGCTATCTTGTATGTGTATGTAAGTTGACACCCAGCATGCTTACATTCAGGAAAAGAATGACTTACAACAGGCACATACACAGTTGCCAATTGCCTAGAAAAATATCTGAGTATAAGGCACTGTCATAACACATTTCTGCTATAGAAATCAATAGAACAGGTTAAGTACAAACAAATAGCAAATGTAATTTATTCCTTTAAGCACACACTACAAGAAAAAGTATTTAAAACAGTGATGCATGCATCCCCATGGAAAGTTTAGCCTTTACATTTAAAGTAATGATTATATACATAGTACTTATTTCCAAACATTTATTTATTTTTTTATTGTTGTCAGAGTTAGCAAAGAGCCTAGGTATACAACAGATTTCTAATCAATTCTAAGTAAGGACACAGAAGATGCATACTAGCTCCCTGATGTAATTCTGATTTAGCTACTCTTGCCCATAAATAGATACTAGCCTTTTTGGGTACAGGATCCTATTTTACAACTTCACATACAACAAGTAAGAAATTCAAGCTTTTATTCAGTTTATGCTTGCTTAAACTAGACTTACCTCTCTTTTAAGTTCATTCATGCACTGGCATGTTTTTAAAATGGCTACCTCCAAGTCTTCCATGAGATCCTTTGTCTTCTGGTTTTGCTACAAGCCACAGAAAGCAACCGACAAAACATTACATAAAAAACCCAGCAAATCGCACCTTCACATCATGTGTCATTACTTCAAGTTGCTTTAGAAGACAGCCTTTTCTTTCTAGATGTAATGTTTTAATTTGCACATCCTGTGTATATTCTACTTGAAAAATTCTTTTACAGAAACATTTATCACCAAATCAAATCTAAAAATAATAGTGATGCAAGCTAATTGACTGTTTCTGTTCAACAGAAATTTATTTCTAAACCTCACTGAGTTTTTTTCAGGAAAAGGGTTTCCTTAGGCTTTACAACTTCCAAAAATCTTCTGTCTAAACATCCTAAAGTAGAGCAACAGTTTAAGGCTTTTTTTTTTTTTTAAATATAAACACCCTTTTAAAATAAAGTGGCACCTAAAATGTTGTACCAAATGTTCTATATTGAATTACAAAAAGGTTACTTAAAGCATCCTTTTAAGACTTTAGATCATTGTCTAATTTAAACAAGTACAGTAGCTAACAACATTTTGTTGAGGTAGCTTCAATACAGAGGTCCCACTTCTGCAAACAGCACTTATCTATGGAACTACCCAAATGTCAGGAGACATACACTGGGAAAAGAGTTAAGGAGCAGTGATTTTGCACTCTCCTCCAAAATATATTGGAAACAATTATCCTAGGTGGGACCATTAACATGGCCGTAGCTGCAAAAAGATTAGCCCCTCAGAATCTAAATTAACATAAACATATACACACAAAATGTGTGTAGGTATAGACATGCACACCCTCAATTTTGTTTAAAGGGAAAAAACCACCCAAGCCAATATGATAATTTTCTCACATATTCTTATCTGTTCTAAGTCTCAAAGCTACCTGTCCCTCAAATTTAATGCTTTCCTTTAAGTAATCTGTGTAAAAGTGTAACATCACAAAATCACTTTTAACACAAGGAGCATAATGTTTTACACTCAGAGTGTCCTTTTTATTTTTTACTTGTTTAATGTGTACATTTTTGCTCCTTCTATGTGCAACTTTTCTCTCTCTCTTTTTTTTTAAAAAAAAAAAAGAAAAAACCACAAGTGAAGGAATTGTCTAGCCAAAATAAGGTTACAGGAAAACATAAATAGGACAGTAGCTTGTGATCTCATGAGCTCGAACATATCAGGAAGGATTTCAGAAACATTTAAAATTCAATCAACAGCATTAGATTATCTGTTGTGCTCCAGCTAGTTTTCATTAACATACAATAATACAAAAAAGAGCAGATCAGTGATGTCTGTCTAATTTAGACTTGACCTAGGTTACAAGACACTTCTGTTTTAAACTACATTCTTCACTGAAGACTCACAGTTACTCTGCTTGCTAAAAGGAAGTATGGTGAGTGGAAAGGGAAATAATTGGGCACTCGAAGAGCTCTACATATCCCCCAGTTCATGTATCCCCAAGGCACAATAATATATTTTTTTTTTAAGTCAACAATCCCACTTGAATTACATTAAATCCCTCAGAAAATATTCACCCTCCAATGAAGCTGCTGAGCTGAAACTAAAAAGCCACTTCAGTGAGCTGATGCTATTTTATCTGCTTACTGCGTCTTCAGTCACAGTTAGGCTGGGTTATTTATTAATGAAAATACTTAATGCATAAGCACACGTGCACGCCCAAGTATTTTCACGGATCATATACATGCATAATCTTGTACTAAGCTCTCATTTTTATCACTTGAAATATAGCACGTAAATTATTTAGAGGTGATAATTTTCCACCAGTAAGAGAGCTTAGAAATACCCAAGTGTACTGGTTTTGGCTGGGACAGAATTAATTTTCTTCCTAGTATCTGGTATGGTGCTGTTTTGGATTTGTGATAAAAACAGCGTTGATAACTTGGGGATGTGTTAGCTATTGCTGAGCAGTGCTTACATAGCTGCCTGCCAGGGCTAACCACCAACACCAAGCCAAACACAGTTTTAGTTTCTTATAGTTGCGGGATTCTATGCAATTAACATTCTATATGTGTTGTCTTTGTAATAACAACAGTCTGTATTATCAATAAGATTTATATGCTTTTCAAACTGCATTACTGCATTAAGAATACCTGACTGCAGCATCTGATTCAAAGAGGAGAAAAGAAACAAAAATGCTTTCTCGTAAGTAATACACTCAATTAAGTAAGTAATCTATACTAATACACATCTGCCATATTTCAGAGTGTTGGTAAGATTTTATGCTATACGTTTTGCCAGGAACAAGACTGAAAACAAGTCGGCATCAGAAACAGAAACTGCATTTTCCATCTCTGCTTTTCCTCCCCGTTTTGCATGTATCTTCTATCATTTTCAAGGAACAAGATAGGACAAATGACAGAGGGAGGCTTAATGTGCTCTAAAAAGGAAAACTACCGCCATTTAAATCTTATAAAAAGGACAAACGAAAATTGCCTGTAAGTCTTAGTGTCTCTTTCCCCTCGCTCCTCTCTCCACAAGATTAAAAAAACCAGTCAATTTCTTAGAATATTTCCCTTTTCAATAGTTTAAGTGTTTTCAATATTCTGTTGAAAACAAGAAAGAGAAACTCTGGTCACTGCCACAGGATCAAGACAATTGAAGTCTCTGAATTACTCAACCAAAAGACCTAACTGTTTAAGACTGTGCAATGATACTTCTATTCACCTTCTTGTTTCCACTTACAGCTTCATTAAAATTAGTCTACCACCACTAGTAGCCTAATTTAGCCATCAAAGAATCAATGAAGCAATACCACTGGGGCAGGGGGAGGACAGAACATATTGAAGCTGCAGAAGCACAGAACAAACTCTGGCTTCCTTGATCAGCTCTCACTGTGAGGAATACACACAGTTCTCTTTTCCTAGACCAGAAGAAACACTGCATTAAAATTTCTTTCCAAAGTAGAGGTGAAAAGATTTACTTTGCTAAAAGGCTCTTACAGCTTGCATCCACACTGAAACCAGCTGCTCTAGTTCCATTTTAGCCTGTTTAGACAGCTCCAAAATGTGTTCTCTGTGCTCATGACTGGTATAGGCAGAGTCTGTGAAGTCCTCCGTATGTTCCAGGATAACTTCCAGCATTGTTGAAAGGTTCTCTTTTGAGAGAAAATAAAGATTCTCACGAAGACCCTCCACCTTATTCTGAAAAAGAAGCGTACCAGTTCCTTGAATATTTATGTGGTTATACAGTTGTGATGCAGAGAGCAGATGCATCATTTTACATTTTATTTTTCTCCTCAGTGCTTTTTTTTATTATTTACTTATTTTCAAAGTAATCCAACAATTTACTTGTATCCAGACCTTCAGTTTATGGTTTGGGATTTTTTTTTTTTTTTTAATGTACTAATACCATCAGCAAATTACTGGCCACTTATCAGAAGTAACAGCAAATACTTAATTGTTCTACTGCTGTCAATAAAAAGCTTTTAAGTTCCGTAACTTTCAGAAATTGTGTATTCAGATTTTGTTTGATTTTTCCACATCCATATAATCTATTTTGAGTATTTTTCTAAAAATTTACATGTAGCAAATGGAATACTTTGAGGCACTTCACAAAAATTTTAACCAAATTCTAAAGGGGGGGAAAATAAATAAATAAAAATAATAATAAAATCAAAGTTACAGACTCCAAAGAAACAAGACATGGTTGTTCATTAACTGTTCTTAACTGGTATGAAATTTAGAGAAGCCTTTATCAGGAAAAATCGACTGAGCTACAAGATACAATTTCAACTCATTCAATAACATTTCCTTTGAATGACAGTTTGTTCTTTTAAATGTTTGGATGAATATTTTTCTGTGCAGTTTTAAAAATACTGCCAATTACAAAGCAAGAATTCTTCAACAACTATTTTAATGAAGTTCTGATCGGTATCCTGATACTTAAGTTTATTTAACGTCAAGGCATCACCTCAACAAAACATTAGAGTTCTGAATGCATTCTGATTCAGGAGGAGATGGCAAGTATCAAAAGGTGTATTTTGGCAATGACAATGAAATTACAATCACCTCTTGTCAGATTCTCTAACATTTTGGGACAATTATTTAAGTTAACACTGCTGAAAAGATGCAGTTCCACCATTTGAAGTTTAAAAATCCCCCCCCCCAAGTTTTGAGGTAATTTATTAGGCTGTAGAAAACAATACTATTTCTACTCTTACCTTGAATTCTTTGATGCCAGAATATATGCTGATGGGGGCCATTTCATTTTCTCCGTTTGGTCTAGAGTCAGTTACAATTTCTATTACCTGTTCCAAAGCTAATCTCATCCGATGAAAAACTCCGTCTTTGTTTATACGAGCAGATTCACAGTCTGGATGCCTCAAACAAGTCTTTTTGAAGAAAGAAAAGTAAGTATTATGAAAAAGTACACATGCAGTATAGCGAAATGAATGCTTCCTGCTAAGGCAAGTCTAAACAATGTGTTAGAATATGATAAATTCTTTCTGTTAAACTGCTATTGTGTTAAGTAGAATTCATACCGTTACTCAGAATATAAAGATTTTCCTCTACTCATTCTTTACTCTTACACCCTTCTTTAGCATGAAGTTTAAAATGGGGCTGAGAAAGAAGAGTCAGCTACCCTGCCAGATGCCATACTCTGTGATTTATCCAAGTTGTGTAAGAGCTTGCATACTCACTCACCTTTGAAGCAGTTAGGAGCATCATGGTGCACTTCTCAAGAACAGCCCTAGATGCTGCCATTCTAGCCTTTTTCTTCTCATCCTTCAAATCCTGAACACCAAAAGAAAAAATGACCTGAACATTACACAGTATCTAAAATGTTAACTGCTGGAAAAAGGAAACTCTCTTGCAGATGGATGGGTTGTGAGAAAGCTTCTTTATGTCTGACAATGGCTATTTTCAGCCTAACTCATGATCTAGAACTTGCTTTTCAGATAGATTTTAATCTATGCATTTATTCTTGGCTTTATTAAATTCAGATTTCAAAGAAGGAAGATCTCAGAGATACAGAGCGTGTTATGTAAAGTGTCATTAATTCTGCTACCTTTATCATATAGCATTATTGATAAAACAGAAAAATGAGGGGAAAAGAATAGCTGACTAAAAAATATTTTCTGAAATGGGGGGAGGGTAAGGCAGACACAGAGAACACCAGCTTTTTATTGTACTGCAGTGAAGGAAATATAAAATAAATCTTTCGTCTACTTTGAGTGTTGTATTTACTACATACCAGTAGTAAAGAAAGTTTTAACAGGCTAAAAAAGCAATTTCTCTGTAGAAAGGCATTGAGTACAGAAACTTTCCAAGAACTCTCCAGGGAGAGGGATGTATCTGCAAAACCGAACTATACCCCCAGAGAAGTTCATCAAAAGGGAAGAATTTAGAGTCCAAACTGGGATGGAGGTGGGAGGGAGGGAAGAGGGCAAAACATGAATCCCTCAATGCGTAAGAGGGTCTAACAAGAGGAAGAACTTACAAAGCTACAACTAAGATCTTCTCAATGCTCGCAAAGATAGCTGAGTGCTATTTGAGTGTTAAACAGGCAACTGAATGGGACCAGCTGAAAAGGAAACAGTTTACAGGATGGAATTAATCCTAATTTACCCTAGATTAGCAAAAAACCTCAGATAAATCACAGCAGCAGTCTGTTTTGACATTTTTATTTAGCAACTACAGAAAATCTTTAAGATCAAAATCACCACATTTAAAAAAAAAACACCTCATTTCTGAAATCCTGACATTACATTCTCATAAATCAAGAGTTTCTGGCATACTTGTTATAATTACACTAAGGAAGAATACTTTGAGGGATGTTTCCTCCCAATAAAACTAACAATGCCACATAGCAGCCTACACACTGTAAAGTGAGCATATCAAGAAAGTCCTGACACAATTTAAAAAGTAGTAATGAAACACGCTTTCCAAAAGAGTCAAGTAGGCAAGGAAGGGAGAGCCAAAGACCAGTTAACACTGAAAACCAAAAATAGTTGAAAAGAATATCACTTACTAGTAATGCACCTGTCTCTTTCCAAGGAACAACTGCTATGAATATTTCAGGGAGAAATAAAGAGAGTTCATTTCCAAGCAGGTATTTCCTTTAATTATATGTAGCTTTTCCAGAACTGATTCTTTGATACTGAGCATGTACTTAGTAGACTTGGAACACATCAACAGTAAAAGGACATGCGTAAGTTTGGCCAATTGTTTATACAAATTGAATTCTGTATTTTGCTGGATATCAGGGACTCTGTATATCTATATCAGACCCTGGTTCAGTTGTGAATGGAGGATTTGATTGCCAAGGGGAAGCAACTAGAGCTCACAGCAGAAGTCTTAAGCCTCAGCAAACCTTTTATTTACATGGAAGTAGCAGCAAAAAGCTTCCTGCATGAATGAAAAGCTTTGAAAGAGTAGCTGCATGCGAGAAGTAAAAAACCATTACCCCAACATAAGAAGGTTTTGACCTAAACCTAGAAAAATAATCCAGAATAATTTAAAAAAAAAAAAAAAAAGTGAAATGCTTTATTAAGATCTAAAGATTTCATGTTTGGCATTTTCTAAAATAATTACTCTGATTTCAAATCCCTTCACTATGTGCAAACGTCAAATGTTTCTGCCACGTAACAACAAACAAATTCTCTACCAGAGTAATAAGCCAGAAAAGTTAGAGCCAAAAGACAATGATTGAAGCCAAAGCACATCTCAAATAACATGCACCCAGTCTTCTGGAAGATATGCAGATCAAACAACACAGTGATATTTCTCAGGCTGAGCTTTAAAATCAAAAGAAGTCCTTTGGGTGGAGCAAGGAGAAGAAGTTAGGTTTCAGAGATAGGACCCCAGCAATTGTTCTGTTTTGTAATAGTTAATCATGCCAGAAGAACCCAAATCTTCCAGTGAATCAGACGAAAATGATACCTTACATCATCTCTCACAGCTTTTTATTAATACTTACATTTTGCCGATCTCCAGTTAAATGGGCAAACTCTACCATTTCATTTCCAAACTGGCTGAATATTTGTACAAACTCCTGGAAACTACTGACTTTTTCTAGTTGTTCCATTGTTGCAAGAACCTGCAAGATAAGGGAAAATACTGTAGATTATCAAGATGCTAAACAGAAAACATTATTACTAAACTAGGAATATTATTATTTGCAGACACTTCTAAATCGTGTTGTTTAATATGTATATATTTTGTCACTATTTAAGCATTAATAACTCAACAGCTGGAAATCAAGTCTAAATTAATAATCATGCTTCATTCAAAATGAGTCATTTGTTGTCAACCCTAGAAAACATTTTCCTCACTTTTCCCAGTATCAAGAGTAACAGTATTACACAATTCAATTTCCAGATTTAGGAAAAATGTTACTGTCATACTGAATTTAAAAACATGAAATTGACATACAGATTATATCCCTATGTTGTAACTCTAAATTTCAAAGTTCAATTTCAGATGCATAACTTTCAAAGTCTAAAACCACAGTTGCACAGTCAGACAGGTATTTTAATGTCTGTGTGTATTTAAAAAAAAAAAACCACACACCAACAGCATTCCACAAAAGAAAACAAAAAAAGTTACAAATGAGTTAATGTATAGTTTTATACTTTCCATAACAACTTACTCTAACTCTGAATATTTTTATTAGCTCTATATAAAACAAGGAACTAAATGAACCCAAGTTGTATCAAGCTCTTACTCAAGATACATAAAAGCATGCAAAATCAGCAATTTTTTAAAACATTCAGCAAAAATTATCATATAGCTTATAAACTACTGAAGCTATCCTACTGAAGTCACTACAATATGGTTTATAACACAGATTATCATTAGGGTTTTTCAGGTTAGAGGTATAGTTGCTAATCCCAAAATGATCTTTCAAATCCACTAAATGTCTTCAGACGGGAAGACAGTCAAAGCAGTTCTTTATTGTGTTTCAGACTGGAGATAAGATACCACATGAAAATTTAACAAACTGTACTTGAAAGAGAGAAACTTCAACTCATTTCTCTTTTCCTATGCCAAAAGTATCTTCCCCTCCAACTAAAAAAAGCAGTCTAATACCTGATTATGACAAACTATCCCTTCCCTGCAACCCAGGCAAACCCTCCTAGAAGCACCAGTTCTTTTGTAATAGAGCAGCTGCTCGATCTCATAGTTATAATCTAGGTAAAGCAAATGTTCCACTAAATCCTGTGAGTACTGTGGAACTGACTGCTTTATCATGCAATATTAGACTGCAGTATCTGTCCGAGTATCTTATGTTATGCAGCCAGTTCCACAAAGTCTGCAGAAACAGAAACTTTCATCATCCAGGTGTTGATGCACGAGCAAGGCTGGGGTATAAAGGACTTGGAAGGAAGCTGCACAAAGATGAAGATGTGAAGACAACAGTATGAGAGTGGAAGAGGCAGAGAGCCACAGGACTGGGAAAGTGAAGATGTAGAAAAGTGAATGTGGAGAAAGGAGAAAACATACAAGTTAAGGTCCAACTTTCTCTTCTAAGAATGGATAATAGCAATTATGCTCAATCATTCTTGGTTTAGGCAAGTATAGTACTTCGTGAGTATGGTCTTGCTTGCAAGCAACTCTGTTACAGTTACCCTAGAGCAAGTGTTTCTGTCATGAGAAATCTCTTGTCAAATACAAATTTCAGTGAAAGCACACGTATTTCCATTATAGGTAACAATTCTAGACATTTCAGGCAGAGCTGACATTCCAAGAAACTACATACAGGGAGAAACCATATAGACAGCTCTAAATTTGTCTAAACCTTATTCAAGAAGCTGTTAAAATGCAAAATACCTGTGATGTCTTCATAATTTTTCATTTTAAACTTTCTTCAACATGAAACACACAGATAGTAATTAAAATGTACATTTTTAAATACAAGGTTAAAAATATGTATCAAAAAAGGCTTTAAGTTCCTATTAATATCTAAATTAGAACTTAGTATTACACAGCTACTGCTGCACTATGAATGTCGCCTTTCAGAAGGCAGTCATAGGCTGACACCACTTCTGGGCACATCCATATTTTGATCCAATCCGCATAGTGCAGCAACACCCCCACTATCTCTCACTTCCCTATTCGTTTTTCTGGCAGTCCTAACCTGACTGACGACAGTGAGCGGAGCAAGACTTTAAGCTCACTGATGCAGTGACTAAGTCTGATGGACAGTGAAACAAATTTTGTAAGGTAGGAAAGATGTGGGCAGGGACTTAAGAAATGCACACAATCTAAGAACACAGGGACGGTATATATGGTGCAGAGGGTGCAGAAGCAGGAACAGGATCATTGGGATCATCAACCAGAGGTTGAGTTCTGGAACAGATCACCATTCCAGAAGATCTCAATCACTTCATCAGTCTATGAGATTGGACGTCCAACCATTAAGCTGTTTTTCTGTCCTTTGCCCTTCGTTGACTTAACTACTCTTGATTCATATGAGGAAGATGATGACAATGAAAATGAAGGCGTTCAGAAAGAGGCAGCAAGAAAACTGGCACTAAAAGTTCAACATTGGGCATTCAGTCTCTAAGATGAAAATGCAGCTGAGATCTTCTGGAACAGTGACCCACTCCAAGAAGCTGGCATCTGCTCCAGTTGGCAGTACTAATAATGATCCTGTTCCTGCCTTTCCATGCTCTACACCGTATTATACTATGCTGTCTCTGAGTATTCGTGTGCACTTCTTAAGTCCCTGCCCGCATCATCCCTCTACCACAATATTTCTTACAGGAAGAACTGCTTTGCTATCCATCATACCAGTGTCTGACACACTTTTCAGGAGTGTACTCTATAAATATGAGGGTATGCCTGTATAAGACACCATCATTTGTTTAATTTGGTCCTAGAGATGTGAATTGCTCTGCTGGTACCATAAATGGAAGCAGACATTCTCAAACACATTTAGACTATGCGTAGAAAGGAGAATGCAGTAAAACCCAGAAGACCACAAAGACTAGGGTGACTATGGCAATCAGAGTCAGACACACTTACTCCAGAATATGAGACTTCATTTTAAATACCTTCAAAACTAAATCCTGCACCTACGCTTACTATATTCATATCACTGTATATATGATAATATTTTCATATATATTTAAGACTATCATAAACCATGCCCAGCGGCTGAAAGGATATATCCCTCCTTATCGCTTCATGATACAAGCACTTGCACAGTTGCTCTGTAGCCTAAATCTGTGTCCAGCCACTTTTGGAAAGGTAAATTAATTTAGATCACTGCATGGTTGCAGATGACAGCAGAAGAAAAGCTCACGAAAGGCAGCAAAAGGTATTAAATGCACCATTCTGGTCTCCAGGGCAAAAAAAGACCAAAGCTGCAAGTAACTTCAGCAAATTAATATTGATAAAACTGCTGCCACCTTCACCAACCACTGGGAGAAGAAAAGAGCACTAAGACAGCAGATCAGTGCTGCGAAGTCTAAAGCCAGACTGAAGCAGGTATTACCGTAGTTTTTGAATCCTGGACTCAACTATGTGTCTTGGATCTAGAAGCTGCAAAAGAGAGACCAGCAATGTCTGGAAAGCAAACTGGGACAAAGGGAGAGAGATAGCATGAGGAGTCAAAAGAGGAAAGAGGGGCTCTGCTCTGTATTACAAATTGAAAATTAATGGAAAAAACCAGGCCCTATCAGGCTCTCATTTTCCAGACATGAGGTTTTTCTATTTTCGTTTTAGCACATCAGGGAAGAAAAAAAAAAAGAATGAATATCCTATAGGCAAGACAGTGCAGTACACAAAATAGATAACATCTGAGGTTAAAGGGGCCTTCATACATTATTTAAATCAGCTAAGTAGTTTCAAGCTAAGTTTCAAGACATAAGTTAAACTGTACAAAATACTTTTAATCTGAAAACCTCATTTCACTAGCACAGACTTCCATCAGCATTCCTCACAGCTTTTTGCCTTAGACACATTCATAATGCCCTCCTTGTCTTGATCCTGACAGTACAAACATCCTGTCCTTAGCAAGTAGAAGCTTTTATTGGCCATTTTACTGACAGACACACTTTCCACTTCACAGTAACACAGCATCTTCTCCAGCATGCTAAGTCAACAGAGCAATACAGGTCACAAAATATAGAAAGTCACTGAAAATAGTTATTTTATTCCTCCTGACTTAGAGCCATCCCCTTACAGGTGAACATGTGCAAGACATTAAATTTTACCTCTTTATTTTGCACGTCCTCTACAGATACAGTGAAAATACCACTTCATTTACCACCACTCTTTTGCATTGACTGCAGGTATCAGTTAAACAAAACAGAAAAGAAGCTACAAATACCTTGTTTCTGGAAGTTATAATTTGCTTAATAACAATTCTGTCTGCTAACACCAGCACCTTTGTGACAGAAGAAAGCAACAACCTTGCAGCTTTTACCACACCCGTTTTGTCCGTAAAGATTGTTATGTGGCTATCAGATTCTGGATGATCCAAGCTGGCCACGTCTGTAAGCTGTGCGATTGTTTCACCTAGAGGGAAAAAAGAAATAATTAATATTTCAGACTCTACAAAAAAGATACTGGGCCATTAAGCAGTCTTAACTTTTACTTTTGAGGGATAAAAAAAAACAATTTCAGAGCCACCTACAACTCTGTTATTTCACTTCACTTCCTTCTACTGACTGTTGGTGGCACCCTCTCCATATTTAAATTTGGACTATTATTCAGTACTGCCTCATTCTTCCATCTGTAACATACACTAGTTTTCTTACAGTAATCTACAGATATTTGAGGTTGAGGGGGTGGAACTGGGGAGTGTGGAGGGAGAAAACATTTATAGGAGATATTTTTCCAATTTTAATAGCAAAAGTCAAATCAGTGTCGACACTTGCAGCACCAACCTCCTGAAGGAGTGGGATGTGCAGCAAGGAAGGAAGAAATTCCCCTCCACTTTCCAAATTTCAGTTAGTATTCCCATAATTTATGGATTTCCTATTCCTGTTGAAGTCTTCAGGCATGAAGAATAAAGAGATTCCAAACAGGAACTTTATAATTTATACAACTGAAGCATTATAGTGAGACTGCTGCACTTCATGTTCAAAGGAGGGCCACCAAACAGTATATTGTCAGAGACAGGAAAGGAAAAGAAGACAAAGAAGCACTGATTTTCAGTTTATAAGCATTTTTTTATTCAACTATGATAATAGTTAAATAGGACTATTCAACCACTTTTATTTTTTATGCAGTTAAAAATTTTACAATCCAATGCAGTCAATGGATCTCTTTGTCTGAGAAAAATCACAGGGCTCTATCCAATTAAATCTTCTGGAGTATCCTAAATAATAGTGCAATAGAGGAAAGGCATAGAGCAGTTTCCTATGCCACAACCACAGAAGGACTGAAGGAGACTGAACTCAGGCAAGCTCTGAGACATGCTTTTTGTTAGCATGCAAGACAAGATGGTCAACCCATAACCCACAACTAACCTCTGAGAAAAATCACAGGGCCCTATCCAATTAAATCTTCTGGAGTATCCTAAATAATAGTGCAATAGAGGAAAGGCATAGAGCAGTTTCCTATGCCACAACCACAGAAGGACTGAAGGAGACTGAACTCAGGCAAGCTCTGAGACATGCTTTTTGTTAGCATGCAAGACAAGATGGTCAACCCATAACCCACAACTAACCTGCAGATGATCCTTGAAGATAAAATCTAGGACATTTGATCGAGTCCCCTATGACTCATCTTCAAAACCTCAACTAAGCAGACAAGATACTCCAAAAGCCTGATAAAGCCGGAGGTCCCATATGAAGAACCTGAGGGTGCATTATTAGTCCGCAAATACCACACACAAACACTATGGAACAAGGAAGGCCTGCCAGTCCTTCAAAACACAGAGCTCCACACGTCATAGTGTTTATGTATAGATTTCTCTCCTCTGACAATTGTAATCCCTTGAGCTCTTAAGTTGCCTGAATAGGTATTGTACTACGGCAAGGAAATTCCAGTACTTTTGCTAGGATGAGGCTGACTCATAAAAGCCATGCTACAAATAATCAGAGGGTCTCTCTAGTATAAGTATGCAAATATGATAATCAGAGTACACTCTGAGACAGTGCGTTCCACAGCTGAAGGGCCTGAAAATGAACAGAAGCAAGAACAATTATAAAAGTACGGCTATTATCCAAACAATGAGGGCAGCCAGATACACTAACAGTGAAGCTGTAGGACAAGACTCCAGTCGGGTGAGGAGATCATTTAACAGCAAAACAGATTGGCCACTGCCATCTCCATAGTCAAATTCACTTCATTTCAGGCCAATCTCTAGCTGGAACTGTTCAACTTTGTCAGCAGATTAACCGCAATCTCTTCCTTTGACCTCAAAATATATGTGACAACATAAAATGCTGTAGAAACACACAGAGAACAATTAAAATAGACAAAAAGTGCTTTTGGAAGCATGCACAATATCATTACCCATTTTCTTATGCTGTGGGATTCACCTTCTGGAAGATGAATTATCAAGTCATAACTGAAGCATCTAGTCATACAAAGAGTAATCAGAGAACGTAGAAAGAGCTGCAACATCTGCCTGTCAAAAGCTCCAGAAAGCCCTAGAAACTTGAGACTTCTGACAACAGAACAAAGACTTCCTTCTCTGCCTGCAGGTCTGCAACTACAGGAACAGGAATGGTGCCCTGGTAGTAAGCTATGAGGAGCAAGACCTGTCAGGGTAAAAAGACTGAGCTAGGGACTATTTAAGCCAGCTGGGCACACACAAGTCCATGGGACACATCTGAGAGTGTCAAAGGATCAGTTCAGTATCACTGCAGTTCTGCTATCATGTCTGAAGGATTGTGACAATTGGGACAGATTTCCAATGATAGATGTCACAGCCATCTTCAAGAAAGGCAACAAGAAAAACTCAGGCAATTATTGGCTAGTCAACCACACATCACTCTCCAGGAGTATTATTAAAATAATCTTGGAAGCCATTACCACATGAAGTACAAAAAGGCAACCAGGAAGAGCCAGAACAGAACTGCAAGGGTGAACAGTCCCTTATTGACCTGAATGCCTTCTATGACAAGATGACGCTGTCTCTAGAAAAGGAAGTAATGGATGCTGTGTGTCTCAACTTCAGCAAGGCCTCTGACATGATCTCCCATAGTGTCCTTATAACTACATCATGAGATATGGACTGGATAAGTGAACAATAAGGTGGGCAGAAAATGGACTTGACTGTTGGGCTCGGAGATGATGGTAAGTGGTACAAAGTCCAACGGCCAGTCAATTAGCAGTGGTGTCCCTCAGAGACTGATACAAGGCATCAAAACTGTTCCCTGGATGATGGGCTAGCACATCCAGCAAGTGTGTGAACAACACCAAACTGGGGGAGTGCCTGATATGCTGGAGGACAGGGCTGCTAGAGAGAGGGACAGGCCAGAAAGATGATCTGACAGGAAGTTTGTGAAGTCCAACAAAGGCAGTAATACCAAGTCCTGCATCTGGGCCAGGATAACACCACACAACAGTACAGGCTGGGATCAGCTGTCTACAGAGAACCTGTGTGGGGAAAGACATGGGGGTCCTGGTGGACAAAGGGTTGAACAGGAGTCAACAATGATGGCCAGCTGCGCGCTGGGTTGTTAGCACAGGGTGCAGAAATGATTCTTCCCTTCTGTTTGGCACTTGTGAGACAGCATCTGGAGTACTATGTCCAGTCCTGGGCTCCCCAGTACCAGGGAAAACACTGACATAGCGGACCACATGACGCAAGAGGAGAGATCGAAGAAAGCGCATTTGTTCCACCTCAAGAAGAGGAGGCCAATGGCAGAGTTTACTGCGGTCTACAGCTACCTACCTCATGGGCAGGTACGGAGAAGACAGAGACAGACTGCTGCCAGAGGTGCATGGCGATAAGACAAAAAGCAACGGACAAGATGTAAGAAAATACTTTTGCCACTGTAAGGATGGTCAAACGCTGTAAGGAGGTGTACAAGAAGCTGCACAGTCTCCATTCTTGGAGTTAAATGTCCCTTCCAACATAAGTTATTCTGTGATTCTATTTATCCATTTTAAATTGTTGGTTTTCAACCTTCTTAATTTAGTCCTTCTCTGTACTAAAAGACAAGGCAAAAATAGAAGACAGCTATTTATTGCTTCCATTTTACTCCATGTCTTCCTTTAGGGCTACGTAGTCAACTGGCAGAGAATACTGAAAATGTTACGACACTAACTCATTCTTGACATGTGTTTTCTCTTTTAAATTAAGCAGTCTTTCCTAGTTTTGGAGGGGGGGGGAATCACAGATGGGCATCTAAAAATGTGCTTCTTTGAGTTACATTCCACTACTATACTGTCACTGTAAACACTGTAAACACTGACATAGTTGCAAGACTAATGTTAGGCAAAATCTGCTACATGACCCTCTGCGGTGTTTTATGATTCTATTTTGAGTCAATCAAATTACAAGGTTTATTACAAGGAAATAGTCGTAACAAGTCTGAAACACTTCAGATCACTGATTATACCCTTTACAAGAGAGATACAACATCTGTCATCCTTCAAAGCCTCTGCAGGATATGCAATTGATTTAAAGACTCCCTACTTTTCCTAGCAACTAAGACACCTAATGTTCTAAATCCTTTAGTGTTGAAATTTATCTTCTATGCCTAACAAAGTGTCCCTTTAATTTTTTGAGGCACAATCTAATTTATCGGCTAAAAGGAAGCATGAACTGCTCTACAACATCCTCTGTCCTAATCAGCAAGGGCTTTCTGCTGCCCATGCCATCAGAACATGAGATTCTTTTATACAAGTCAATATTCTTGGCTATAGTTGGCCAGGAGATTTTATTGGCTTGCTTGGGAACACCAAAGTTGTTCAAAATGACACGTGAGCAACTGCATTCAGAGACTAAATTCAGAGGATATTTATTCGTAAGAATTTATCTGCACAAAGGACTGTCTTACCTTGTCCAACACTTAACAGTGTACAGAGATAATACTGGCACAAAAAAAACCAAACAAAAAACCAGCAGCAAACAAAAATGTTTGATATACTGAATTTCCCACGTAACTCTTCAGTTAGACCTCAAATGGACAGCTCGGAGAGAATAACTGACCCATGCCACGGTAAATTTGAGGCCTGATAGAAAAGTAGACAGTCTATATCTTCACTCCTCTAGATTGAGGCACATTACTGCTTAACAGGAAATAAAACTTACAATGTAAAAAAGTATAACCCTTTGGTGAGAGAAAATACTGCCGACTATTTTTAGATTCTGAGCTCCTCCTGGATACACTGATAGGGAGAAAAAGCACTTGGGCCACAGCGTAACTGGAAAGTCAAGAAATAGAGATCCAGACTGCACTGCTCTGCTAGCAGCTGAGATTATTGACGTAAACTTTGGCAATTTTGGCTTGTCAGCATTTTACTTGGATCTCTGAAGAGAAAACACATGCTTCACCTAACAAATGGAATGTTTTCAAATTAGGACATTTCTGATTGCAGCCAAGTTTACTGGAGCGACTATGAACTTTCAGTCTGAAGTTTATCTAGAATAGTCCTCCAAATCACAAAAACAATCATTCATCACCAGCGTGTTTCTAGACATTGCGACTCATTGCTGAGGGATTTTCAGAGGATTTCTTACAGTACCATGCTCAATTTCTAAGCTTTTTTTTTTTTTTTAATCACAAAAATAGTATGAACTGCATCCCCAAAGTTTGAGGCCAGCACAGTGATTCAGCAACAAATATACCAGCTATAACAGCAAAAAGCAAGTTTCTCAGGCTTCTGAGGTTATTCAAAAGATAAAAAACAAACAGCCACCCACAAGTCCACTGTTTAACTTAACAGATCAATTTTAAGTACAGTAACCCATGTCTTGGAGTAGAGTACTACTCCTTTCTGCAGTCATCAAGACATTAGTGTTGAAAGGTCCTTTATTTGCCTCCACATCTGGAAGCTCAAGATTGTCTACCTGAAGCCACAGTACGCAGAAAGTCTGTCACATCCGTACGTACTTCCACCTGCTTAAACAGGAAAAGCTTCGAGTAGAATTTCCCATGATCCGAAGGTATTTGAAAGAAAAAAAAAAACCCCACCACCACTAACAACAAAAGGAACGTTCTGTTAGATGTCATCTTCTTGAAGGCTGCACTGCAGATATAAGAATATGCATTTACTAAAAGCCACTGAAATATCATGCAAGGAACGGTACTTAATATCTAGGAAAGTAGTTTCTAGCATGACACTGACATTCTCTTACAGTATCAGAGAATGTAACTCACTATTCACCTAGACAGAGGCTTCTGGGGGGAGGAGGGTGATAGCAGGCAGCTCAGTCAATTATCCATACTTCACATTCAATCCACACACAGAGCAAGCTTGCAACAAAAGTTGAATCTGGCAAAAAGGCAAGTATGATATGATAATTTAATTCTACTGAGGGGAGTCATCAGGTGACTGATGTGAGTCATCTTACTGAGTACTGATGAAATATGGGTTGACACTGGCCTTTATTCAGACATTCAGATTTAGAACGCAGTGACCTCAATAACGTAACACTCAAACTACTTTAAATACTCCACTGTTTTAGCTTAAGAGCAATAAACTCTAAAGTTGTATTCGCAACACTCTGCTCTTTGTAGTAACACCATAAAAAAAAAGAGCAGTCAGGTAATTCCTTGTGGCAAAAGATTCTATAAAAAAATCAAAGCCAACACACAATTCCATTCCCCATTCATAAGATGACAGCAATTTAAGTAAGTGACAAAATCAGGTAACAGATTAGGCCTTGAATGAACCAGCAGAAAAGGGTTAAGCAATTAAATAATAAAGTTCTCATATTATTCCTGACACTAAAAATAGTGTGCCAAAAATGGCAAAAGCACAATTTCATGAGTAACTACATACCTGCTCTCCTTGCCTCGATGCAAGCAACACTCATTTCCTCTTTCAGTTCACGATTTTCATTGGCTATGGCTTCACCTACTGTAACAAATCTTCCAACTGCCAGGTTAACTGCTTGGCCCACTCGCTGAATTGCTTGCAGAGTCTTGTCTGAACGCTTTGGTTTATCCTTATGATTAATAAGAGTAGTTATCTGTGAACAAGAAGAGTTAATTATTAGAACTGTATGCAAGTAGTATTTTAGCTTTAGTATTAAAGGCAAGTTTTGAATTGAACTCAGTAATAGATTTGTACCATACTTCACTACTAAAATTTCGTGTTGAGTCATGAGGTATCATTTAACTTCTCAGAGAATAAAAAAAAAAACTGGAGTATAATTAAGTCTGCTCATCTGCTGTGATCTCAGCTTATCTCACACCTCAAATGAATTGAGGGATTTTTTTTTTTTTCCCCCTCCCATTTGCAGTATTAAAATAAGCTGCCCTAGGTCTCTCAACAGGCTTTCACACTACAGACACAGTAAAAGTTGAGGAGTCCAATAGTAGATATATCAACATCATTTTGGGTTTGCCAGCATTGGAAATCTTATAAAGTTTTTGTACTGCCAGGTATCTAAACACACTCATCAACTACCATGTGGGAGCTTTGGCTCTTTTTACTGAAATAAGCCTTCATAAATGACATTTTATCCAATTGACTAAGGCAGGCTTTAAGAAAGAATAAACAGTAGCACAGTCTTTACACAAAAAGAAGAACCATGTGTCTTTTAGAAACAACTTGAAGTATCCGAGCCCTCCCCCCATTAAATATCCACTGTACTCATAACTTAAACATCCTCAATTACACGTGTTTTCTAGAATTTAGAAAAAGGTTGCCATTTAGATGCAAGTTATCAGTAAAACAATTTGTGAGGACATGCTTATTCTGAACTCTACATCACGTATCGGCTTTTCTGCCCGCTACTACATGGCGCTATACATTCCTTCTTGAATCACACTGACCAGAGATCAGCTGCACACAGGTTGCAAGCGGCTGAAGATTTGCCCAAAACACCAAACATAAGGAAACAAACAAAGAGATCCCTCTCCTACCCAAAGAGAAAGGCAGATTGAAGAAGTAGCTTCTCAACCAAGGCATTAAATAAACATGAGAACAGTGTACAGTCCTGCCACTAAGAATTAACTAATTACAAACTGCATTATAAACAGTGTAGGAGCTTTACATTTTTGGTATGACAACCATTTTCTAGTGAGATGCAGGACAGAAGTTGAACTCTGTAGTTTCAAATATCCTAAACCAGCATAAAAGCCATCATCGTTGCCAACAAAGACAGTCCTGCCTGTCCTTGCCTCCCTCTCTCATTTTCACAATGAGTTTATCTATGTGGGCTAAACCTGAGTTGTGGAGAAGGTGATGTTTGTTATTTTAGTTTTCCTCGTAATCAGTTGCCCAGTCCAGTTCACTGCATAGCTGTATGAATACTTCCAGTGGCAAAAGGGAAAAGGTACAGACTGGAGAGAGAAAGATGGGCAGAAGTGCTCCTTTCAGCAGCAACGTGGTTTAAAATGCCCACAGAACTGCATTGTAAGCCACATCCCCAGGAGCTCAAAGATGTCGGCTGAGAGAATCTCAGAATTACATGAATTACTTAAGTGTCTGAACACCTCAACTGTACCAGCTTAACCAGAGATGTTTTTGCTTGTTCCTCAAAAAAACCCCATGTATCATCATTCACTCATACATTCTCCTACCAGTCAAGCTTATGGTAGGACAAAAGCATAGAAGCTGTACCTGTAATGCTCATTGGATCCAAAGACAGAGCAGAAAGCAGTGTAGGAACTGTTCCGCTTCATAATTTGATCAATGCCCAAGGCTTACCCTTCAGATATCACTGAGTCGTATTTCTGGGGAAAAAAAATAGCGGTGTTTTCTAACACCTTACTGGGGCTGGTTTTGAATGCCAGGAGCTGGTTTAGTCAAGTTTGCAGTATTAAACTCTTTGCAGTGGAAAATGTCAATACTTCATAGAGCACTTTGCACCAAAAGAAAAAAAAAAAGCCAGAAAAAGCAAAGAACTATCCCAATAAACAGTGCTGCCCTATCGAAGAACTGCTATGGGAACAGAAGAATATCACTACAGAAATGCACCGTCTGCCCACTGCCTTCTTATATATGCCCTAGTTCTCCAACTTGTACCTAAGCTACAAAAAGCAGAGGTAATAGCAACTGCAGTTTCAGATTCTTTTGAAGACTTAATCAAACTTAAAATTAACAATCAGGGTTAAAAAATTAACAAACAAGATCTTAACTGAGCAAGGAGAAGAATTTCACTAGTATGTTAAGTGACAAACTGAAGGAAACTGTGATGCTAATAAGCAGGACAAAGATTATTTAACCATCAGTTAACCATTTCAGACCATAGTAAAAAAAAAAAAAATCCCTAAGCAGTGTAACGAGAGGGGTGTTGGGGAGAGGCATACAATACCATTTGCTTCAGGATACAAATAAAGCAAGGAGCATTAAAAGACCAATAAGCTAGGCTTCTAAAATAAAGAATAAGCAAAGTTTTTGCTCCTGACTTTTAAACAGCATTTAAAACAAAGATATAAAATTGGACAAGTTAAACGGAGAAAAGCAAAGACCCACAAGAAACCTAACAAGGAACTTTCTCCCCAACAACCAACCACCTTCCTCCAAAGATACCCTAAGAGCCTAGCAAAAACTGAATTAGTGAAAACTTGCAACATTAAAGGATATTCCAGATTACAAAGAATTGCTTTTCCTCTGCAGCCCATCCAATTGCAACCAGACCAGAACTATTACTGTTGTGTTTCTTTGTTTTTTTAAAACAAGGAAACCCCTGTGACTCCAAGAACATCATCTAAACTCTCCTTTAAGCTTAACACCTCCCAAATATTTAATCTATTTATTCTGATCATGTATCACCCAGTCACTAACATTTGTGGTGTTTGGGCAGGAATTAACAGCTGAAAAGATTACCTGCAAGTCTTTTTGAACAAAAGTAATACATTACATGCTGTTCACTTAAGGATTTACTGATCAGGTCCTAGAAAGGAAACAGTCCTTTCTATGGTACTCATGCTCTGTTTAATGTGAGTTCTTACACTATTTCCATGGAATGTTTATCTGAGATTTGAGACAATTAGTTTAAGGAGTGTGCAGTCTCAAGAAACTGTCAGTTACAATCTTTTGTCACTTGTCACCAGCAGCCCCAGAAAAATGGCGTTTTCCCAAGTACTTTACTGAAACTAACATACGTAGCCATAATGTATCAAGATGTACTTCATATTTAAGGAAAGCAGCTCAGTTGTGGCAGTTTTCGAGCAGCTGTTTTCAGAGTTTTTTGAGGGCCTTCAGATACTGACATTTAAGTCATTATATGCTTCATGCACAGGAAGCAGCATGACAGCAAGCTTAACTAAAAATATTCTAAGATCTATTTATTATCAGTGTAATTAAGTCTTGCATGACAGAATTAAGTGATACTTAAGAGATTGGGTTTCAGAAAGTATTTATAGACAACGATAAACAAAACCAGGGGAAATGTAGCTATTTCACAGCCGCTGCTACAAACACAGGAGTTAAACTGAAAAGTCATGTTGGAAGATACCCTATCCATTTCCCTCCCTGGGTAAGTACCCACATTGTACATAGGATGATTTAGACTCTCAAGAATAGTATTTGTTACTGCCTCACAGTAATCAGTTTTCCTGCTGGAAAAAATATTCAAGATGTTTTCTCTATGCAATGAGGATTAGCATCCTTAGAGTAACAGCTCCTCTTCTATTTTGTGTATTTTCTGCTTTCTACCTTCCATTAATTTCATAATGGTAGAAAATTCCTCTCTGAAAACAATGTTATATCAGGAATGGAAAGCCTTTGCTAAGAAAACACGAAAGCACTGCATACTAGGGAAGAAGCTACAAACCCCTACAATAGAAGTGTGCTGTAAAGTAAATTTAGTTGCATTTGATAGGACATGTAGAAAACTTGGTCAAAAAGGCCTTTCCCACACTGCTCATGCTTTTATTAGTTCATCTTGAGTTTGGCGGTGGGGGGGAACTTCTAATACTACATTTTAGGTACTGTGTCTCATTAGGTCTTGTGTACTACTTAAGGACAAGTCTTCAGACTTATTTAGCCAGACAGCAGCACATGTTGTTCCAACACCCACATCTGCTACAGAACACAACCACACTTGTAAGAGAGCACAGAAGCAGCAGTGGGCATTTGACATCCAGTCCATAAGGGCCACAAACAGAACTGTCACATAGACTTCTCATCACAAAAGACGAGCCTCAGGGATCTTGAGAAGGGAACAAGGACTACCTGCTTACCTGTCCCAGAAATCAAAAGTCTGTTAAGATTAGATGCCTGTCCAGGCATTAATGAAAGCCTTACTAAGCATTTTCTACAATTTCAAGCACTAAAATATTTTTTAGCAGTCTGGCTAATGTACGGATTTTTAGAATTGGAAAGCCTTATCTTCCTACTCAGTCTTCATTTTGTAGACAAATCCCACAAATAAACTTTGTGGAAACTCAACTTTGAAAGTTTTCAAAGGCTAGAAAAGATTAACCAAAATGAAATGCAATTGCATTAACTACTAATGCACTAGTTAACTGTAAGAACCCATATTCTATTTATCCTGAAAACGTTGAGACAACTGCCTCTGCTTTATGGACACTTGAACCAGAACAGTTTCTTCTACACGTTGTTATTCAAAAGGGGCAACCAACCTCTTCTTGCAGAAGTCGCGCGGACCTCAACTCATCATTCAGGACCCTGAGTCACCACTTCTCTAAAAGAACAGCTTCCAAGAAGTGGTATGATCCTGCTACCCCTTATTTATGTATTTACCTCATACTGCCTATGCACTGGTGTCTAGAAGGGCAGTACAAATACGCTGCATGTCCAAGACTGCTGAGTTCTGTTACACTTGTGATATTGAGACTGTTGTAGTTGTATCTTTACCTGAAGGCTTTTTAAAAGCATCTTCTCATTGCTTTTGTACACATCTTTCATAAAAGCCTTCAGGGAAGCAAATGAAATAAACTACTTTAACAACCTGTAAGCTGGTTCACTTATCTGCGGGCAAATGCTAACATGCTTAGCGAAGCCTCAGGCAATCTTTCACGTGGAGTGTCTAACAAGCTGATAAGCCACCTCTGA